CTGATAATTAAGGACACATTATTATACGAACATGCAAAGTGGTCTGTGAGTCGATTGTGTGACTTATCGATCAACGAAAAGCGTCTTTCGCTTTCCCGCCATCTGTCTCAAGGCCACACTCATTCAAACATTAAAGTAATTATTTACCCGCTGCTCCACGCAGCAAGATGTGGCACAAGACCGACTTGTAGAGTGGAGTATCCGAGTCCGTAGTCTCGAATGAAAATTCCCTACAGATCACGTAAAAACGGAGTCAGTTTCCCGAGAGGATTACTCTGCCCTTCGGCAAAGCCTCGTCTGGGGGATACCCCCTGACATGTGCCAGGCACATATCTCTAATAGCTGCCGCGATCTGTAAGTTATGATTTAATATATAAGTTCTGATATCTACTAATAACTAAAGAAAACGCGATGGAAAGACATACAGACTTGTCGCGACAAATCTTCAGCATTGATAAGTAACAGCAGATAAGCACATTTTAATTTAAACAAGTCGGTGGGAGTGGCTGAAGTAAAAATGTTTAAAAATTAATAGCAATGGAGAAAACAAAATAAAAGACAAAGAAGGAAGAAGTAAAAATATCAGAAACACCCCCCACCAAAAAAAAATGGGGGGGGGGAATATGACACCAAAATCCGAAGAGGCATTAACATAGCAGTAAATGTCTTCCAAATGCTAAGTAAAGCATTAAGAAACAGGAAAAATTCGTTAGGAACAAAGAATAGACTGTTAAACTCTTATGCAGTATCGGCCCTTCTATCTGGCAATGAATGCTCGACAATCGACTCACAGATGAAGAAGAGACTTGAGGCAACAGAAATGTTGTTCTACAGAAGGATACTGAGAATTCCATGAAGTAGACATGTGATTGACGACGAGGTTTTAAGGAAACGGAAAAGGACACTCAGGATGCATAATGAAGAAAAGAGAGCTCGGAGAATTCGACACTCGCAGGAGATATTGAATGCAAGAGAGAGAGAGAGAGGAAAACAGCAAATAACCACACACACACACACACACACACACAAACAAACGAATATATATTATCATCCGAATCCCGCATCAACAAACTAGAATTATGAGACGCATTCACACATGCATGAATTATACACACGGACATTGCTTGACAAGACAGATGCACGTGAGGTCGGCTTAACCAATGAAAAACAAACAACACAATAATTAAAAATAGCAGAATTTTTCATCATGTTTTAAATGCAATCGGTTGACAATGGCTGAGCGTTCATTAGAACTTGAAAAAATATCCATTATGGAATTTTTTTCTTTTTCGTTGGATAGAAAGCTGTGGAGAGCCATGATCAACCTAATTAACGAGCTTGTGTAAGTGGATAACAGAACAAGGGCTGGGAGGGATAATAAGTAGAAAAACATTGCTTAGAGCCATAATGGATAGGAAGTTGCGAAGAGCTATGATCAACCTACTTAACGAGCTTGTGTCTCTGGATCGCAGAGCATCGACTGGGAGGGATAGTAGGTAGACAAACATTGCTTAGAGTTACGAAAGATAGGAAGTTGTGGAGAGCCGTGATTAACCTACTTAATCAGATTCTGTAAAGGGATGGGAGAAGTGAGACTGGGGGGGATATTAAGGAGACAAACATTGCTTACAGCTACGATGGATATGAAGTTGTGGAGAGTCATGATCAAACTAATTAATGATCTTAAGTGGATAGAAATCAAGAACTGGAATAAATAAAAATAAATAGAAAACATAGCTTAGAACCCCAAAGGATAGGAAGTTGCGGAGAGCCATGATCAACCTACTTAACGAGCTTGTGTAAATGGATGACAGAACAGGAACTGGGAGGGATAGTAAAGTGATAAACTTTGCTTTGAGCCACAAAGGACAGGAAGTTCTGGATAGATTTTATTGTCGACAATATTCAGTAACCCCCCCCATACACACACACACACGAGGGCATCATGTGGCACAAGGCCTTTTTAACGTGGGCTCTCCGAGCCCGTGGGCTCGGCCAAAAATATGCCCATTGAACCCGTATAAACGGGTTCAGGGTCGGTTTACCTCCCCGAAAGAGAATCCGCCCTTCGGCGTAGCCTCGTTCGGGTTCCTCCCCGCCCGAAGGCAGAGAATTCCACCAATCTGTCGTTCAAGAGTTTTATTGTCGACATCATGACGTGGAACAGCATGTAAAACAAGACTTTAAAATTATGGACATTAACTTTTGGTGAGACGCTAAAGAAAAAAACTGCTATAAATTCGAATAAATACCTTGTTAACTAAAATTCAATCTGATCCCTTCCTATTGTTGTCACATAACATGGTTCGTGTGGAATATTCGGTAATTTGGTGCCAAAATCTTTCTTCATTTTCGCCAGATTATAACTTCTTCGTTCAAATAAGGGTTAACGCTGTCAAAAGTTTTTGTTTTAAAAAAAATGAGTTTTTTTTTACTGTATGAGTTTTTTCTGCAACATCAATTACTACTCTGCCTTATATTTTCTCGTCACACTCATTTTCTTCTCCTCCACCTACCTTTCTACTTGCCTTCCCTTCTCACTTCCTCTCTATCTCTTCTACGTTCTCCTCCCATTCCTTCTCTCTTTCCTTTCCGCTTCTCTTTCCCTTCTTTCTTTCCTTCCATCCTTCAGATTCTCTCTTTTCCTTCCTTTCCGTCTTTCTCGTTTCCATTTCTCCTCCTATTCCTTCTCTCCTCCTCTTAACTTTCATCTTCCCCCCTCTTCCTATCTCTTTCCTTTCTGCTTCTCTTTTCCTATCATCTCCCCCTTTTCAGATATCTTCTTTTCCTCCCTTTCTTGCACTCTCTTTTTCGTTTCTTCTTTCCTTTCTGGCTCTCCTCCTCCTCCTCCTTCATTTTCAGCTTCTCTTCCCCATCGTTCTCTCTTTTCTCTATACTTTTCTTACTGTTTCTTCTCTCTTCTTTCATCCACCTTCACTTTCAGCTTCTCCTCTCCTTTCCCTCTTTCCTTCGCGCTTCTATTTCCTTTACTTCCCTCTTCCTCCTCCTCTGCTCATTTTCAGCTTCTCCTCCATTCTTTCTCTCGTTCCTTCCCGCTTCTCTGTCACCGCCTTCTCTCAACTTACTCTTTCATTATCAGCTTCTCCTCCTCTTTTTTCCCCCACTTTCATTTCCTTTTCTATTTCCTTAACTTCTCTCCTCCTCCTCCATTTTCAGCTTCTCCTCCCACTTCCTTCTCTCTTTCTTTCTCTCTTTCCAGTAAGTGGTCTTTATCTCCTACTCCGCTTCTCCTCCTATCGCTTCTCCTCCTCTCCTCGTTAGCCGTGCTAAAAAACAAAAACAAAACAAATTTGGATTATTCCAGATGGAAATTCTACTTTTTAATCGAATTAAAAGCAAAACATTAAATAAAACCTTGAGATATCGGGATATAAGCTCGGGTAAAAATGTAATTGGAAATATTTTGGAAATTTACGGGTATTGTTTAAGAAAAGTTCAAAGCTAGAATTTATGAGAATATCCTGATATTGTAGTCTTTGTGGTCCTGAAAAGAGGGGCGAAAAGAAGCGTAAGCGAAATGAAGCGTAAAAAATCTTTTGGTTTTTGTTTTTAATGCTCACCCAAGGCCCAAGAGCCACTCATGGTAGAGAGTTACTATGTGATTTATATTAGCATAGGAAACGACAAACGTTAGGAAAGGAGTACTACTATAGCTGAATGCTGACAATTTTATTTTTGTTGTTAACTAAATCTCAGTTTAATTTCGGCAAAAGGTTACAATTACTGGGCACCCAGTGAGGATTGAACTCACGACCAGCCTATAATGACCAACCGTACAAGCTTGCTAACAATTTGCCCGATACTGGGGAGGTGCCTTTGAAAAAATAGAGAGCAACACACACACACACACGGTTTTTTTTTTTTTTTTTTTTGTCAGGCATATACATCCGCTGCTGGGGTAATTTGAAATTACAGTGTAACCCGGATATAAGAGACCCGGATATAAGAGAAACCCGGATATAAGAGAGATTTTCTCTGGTCCCAAATTAGAGCCCATATTTACCTACACAAAAGTGACAAAATAGACCAAACCCGGATATAAGAGAAACCCGGATATAAGAGACTTCTTCTCCGGTCCCGACAACTCTCTTATATCCGGGTTACACTGTAATATTAGGAAAAGCTCCAGCCCCCGAGGAGGGATTATCTCCTCAGTCAGTACCCCATTCTTCTTCAGACGAGGACTGGGATTATTACACGGCACTTGAGGCGTCCCCACCTCCCCAATAAAGAGGGTTGTGACGAAAGGGCTTGATCAATTTTTTCCACGATACTGCCGCTACTAAACTCACTTTCAAAGTTTAAACCTCGCTCTATATGCCACGTTCGGTAGCGATGTGGGGGCACTGAAAAGTCCCCTCCGCTTATACATACATGCACACTCGTCCGTGCACGCACACACATACATAAGCACAGATACGCGAGCACACAGACATAACATATACACATACACACCATTTAATTTATAGTATAGACTGGTATGACACGTATCAAATTTCCAGTAATAAGGTCAGGAGAAAAGTCTATTTTAAAACAAGCACATATTGACGAATGGGAGCGGGTGTGCTTAGTTGCCTCGGTAGCGCAGTAGGCAGCGCGTCAGTCTCATAATCAAAAGGGGAAAGAGCTATCTGAAGGTCGTGAGTTCGATCCTCACCCGGGGCAGTCTTTTTATTTCCATTTTAAGGGAAAAATTCAAGTATTAATTGGTTTTGTTTTTACGTCTTATCAAAATTTTGTGTTTTTCATTTTTTTTTTTTTCATTCTTAAAGCAATGTGTGTATTTATCTGTGACAAAATGGAAAAAGTTTTCGTGAGACGCCTTTCGACCTTTAGGACTTCATCAGATTTCAGTAAATTTATGTTTTTACGTTGATGCGACTACGCATGTGCACGAAAGAAACATGATGGAATTTTTTAATTTAAATTTGTTTTCTTTTTATATGTGTTTTTTTTTGGGGTTTAAAATCTAGCTGATTTCATGTGGGACGGTTAAAAACAAAAGTGATAGATAGATAGATAGATAGATAGATAGATAGATAGATAGATAGATAGATAGATAGATAGATAGATAAAAATGAAATTAGAAAGAAAGAAAGAAAGAAAGAAAGAAAGAAAGAAAGAAAGAAAAAAATGAACATAGAAATGAAAATAGATAGATAGATAGATAGATAGATAGATAAAAATGAAATTAGATAGAAAGAAAGAAAGAAATGAACATAGAAATGAAAATAGATAGATAGATAGATAGATAGATAGATAGATAGATAGATAGATAGGTGAAAATGATAATTAAACCTTTCTTTAAATCTTAATATACCACATCACCGAAGTTAAGCAACGTAGAGCTGGGCAAATTCCTTGAGATGATGACCGCTTGGGAATATCAGGTGCTTTTGGCCTGGATATGCAGTTGGTGTAATGGATAATACCTAGGAATTGTTAATCGGGAAGACGAGTTTTAATTTCAGTCAGGTTCATTATATTCACTTAGACACAAATATCCTTGGGAAAGGTATGGATTCATCTCTTCTCTCCCCAGTTATGGGTTAAATAGTAAAACTTGTACCACGAAATCATTCGTTATCTAAAAAAATGCCTTCAAAATATTTTGATTTCGGCATTAGAGTTACGAAAGATAGGAAGTTGTGGAGAGCCGTGATTAACCTACTTAATCAGTTTGAAATTAGATAGATAGATAGATAGATAGATAGATAGATAGATAGATAGATAGATAATGAATAAGCTCAGATAGATAGATAGATAGATAGATAGATAGATAGATAGATAGATAGATATTGATACGCCGCTAAATAAAATCAACTAAAATCTCTTTACAAGAGATTCAAATGTTTGTACAGGAGAGTATTATATATGAAAATGAAAATATATATAAATATATATATATATATATATATATATATATATATATATATATATATATATATATATATATATATAGGGTTTATATTGTTAAAGTATCATTTCAAATCAGAATTTGTACCATATCAACTACCTTGTTTAACATCAGAAAGAGCCAGCTGAAGTTTCTGGGACACATAATGAGAAAAGAGGGCCTGGAGAATCTGATACTCACGGGTCGAATAGAGGGGGAAGAGAGACAAGGGAAAGCAGCGCGTGACATACCTGACGAGCTTGGGCAATTGGATGACAGAACGTGGTCTGGGGGGAGGGGGAAGCAGAAAGAAGGAACTTGTTGAGAGCTGCAAGGGATAGAGGGAGGTGGAGAGCCATGATCACCTACGTCCTGAAAGGACATGGCACATAAAAACAAAAGTAAAATACCTGCCCCAGGCTTTGAGTCGTGATTCTTTAAGAGATTTTACGAAAAAGAAAGCAAAAGTTAATAATAATAATTATTATTATTATTATTATCATTATTATTATCATTTTTATTTTCTTTGATTTCTGGCGTTTACACATTTTCTTTCCGGGTCCCGCCCAGGGACCTAAGGTTAGAAATGGCATCATGACACTTTCCACTGACAAAAAAAAAAATTAAATTACATAGATAAAGCCCTTCGGCAGGTGTGGGCTGTACTTGTCAGAACAATTTTTTGTATCTCCTTGAGGCACGGACTTCCAGGAATCCCTTCAATTAGTCTACTGCAATCTTTTCCAACCAATCCCTAGGGGCTCCAACTTCAACAGGGATTGTTGATGTTCCCATATGCCACATTTTCGAGATTTATATTTCAAGGTCCTTGTATTTTGACACTTTTTGAATATCTTCAAAGATACATTGCAGTCGGCAGAAACTGCCATATCAATAAGGAGGCACTTTTTTTGTTTGTGGTCTTTAATAACAATATCTGGACGGTTGGACTTGATTGTTCTGTCAGTGTGTATTGTGTAGTCCCATAGAATTGTAACAGGTCCTATCTCCGTAACCGGGTCTGGGTGGTGTTCATACCAGTTTCTTTTAGTTTCCTTCCCGTAGAAGTTGCAGATTTTCCATTGCAGATACCCCCCCCCGCGGACGTTTCTCAGCTCCAAACACCATGACTGTTTTTCTTTCTCTCTCTATTATTATAATTATTGCAGGCGTCCGTTTAACTCGCGAGATACGGGTCATGTCAAAATTCAGTCCTTTGGTGGTGAGACAGGAGTGACCTCACCAGGGTTCAAGCTTAAGCGATGCTATATCGAGTCTCACCACATCTTCGCCGTACCAACAAGATCCAAAGGAATTACATTTGGGGATAATGTCGATAATTTGTAGAATAATAATAATAGTAATAATAATAATTACGGGAAGAAAACTGAAAGAAACTGGTATGAACACCACCCAGACCCAGTTACGGAGATAGGACCTGTTACAATTCTATGGGATTACACAATACACACTGACAGAACGATCAAGGCCAACCGGCCAGACATTGTTATTAAAGACCACAAACAAAAAAAGTGCCTCCTTATTGATATGGCAGTCCCTGCTGACTGCAATGTATCTTTGAAGATATTCAAAAAGCTGTCAAAATACAAGGACCTTGAAATAGAAATCTCGAAAATGTGGCATATGGGAACATCAACAATCCCTGTTGTAGTTGGAGCCCTAGGATTGGTTGGAAAAGATTGCAGTAGACTAATTGAAGGGATTCCTGGAAGTCCATGCCTCAAGGAAATTGTTCTGACAAGTACAACCCACACTTTACGAAGGGCTTTATCTATGTAATTTTTTTTTTTTTTTTTTTGTCAGTGGAAAGTGTCATGCTGCCATTTCTAACCTTATGTCTCTGGGCGGGACCCGGAAAGAAATGTGTAAACACCAGAAATCAAATCAAATAAAATAATAATAATAATAATAATAATAATTGTTTTTTTTTTTCTTTTTTCATTACCTTTAATTTAATTTCTCCTTCCTATTCCACACCCCAAGTGGAACCTTCTGTCCATTTTTTTTATCTTCTTGGCATAATGTATGCCTGTAAGTGCGTATATATATATATGCATGTATGTCACTATGTACGTGTATACGATGTACATGTGTGTATATTCGCATGGGTAGGGATCATATTGACGGCCCCCTATTCCCCCCCTATATCGCTACAGGTGTACTAACCTAGCAATGTTCTGTTTTTTGATTGTCTTCTCTTTGAGTGAAAACTTAAAATTTTCTTTTAGGGGTTAGCAGGTTCAGAAATGACCCGAAATGTATTTTTTTTTTTCCTTTTCCTCGTCTCTAGCCCTTTGTCTAATGAACTCTTTGATAACTTTTCCACCAAAATGTAGTAGGTTGATGGCAGTGGCGTAGCTAAGGCGGGGCGAGGGGGTGCGGACCGCCCCGGGTGCCAGCACAACAAATTTTTTCAACCAGGCTAAGGTACCAAATATAGTCTGAAAACAGTGGTGGAGACACAGGGTTTCGCAGGCGGGCATATGACCCTCCAGAAATAATTTATGACCCCCCCCTCCCAGTTTTGTCCCCCCGTCAGAAATTTTCTAATAAATTGTCGGGAAAATTGTGAGTAGGAAAAATAGCAATGTTTTCAGCTTTTGATTTGAACTGATTATTTTGTGGTATTGGATTTTGTCTTGGATCATACATGTAAACAGTAACGTACCGGTCAGTAGAGTAAAGTAGAGGTAGAGCATGTATGAAGATTTAGCTACAGCTAACCATTCAGCATAGGGTGAATCGAGGTCATTGGGGTGACATTTGAGCGGACCGCCCCGGGTGACGTTTACTCTAGCTACGCCACTGGTTGATGGTCTACCTTATAAAACTTGATAAGTATCACTCATTGGCGTCGGAAGGTTGAACATTCGAAAGACACTTGTGCGACCCTCTCACAATGTAAGGAATGGTAAATTTTATATCATTTTTAAAACTGAAATTTTCCTTTTTTTTATTTCATTTTAAGTCTCTTGGCCTTTATTTCACTTTTAACTTCTTTCATTTTCAATTTTCAATTTTTCTTTTTCAGTGGAATATCCCTCATTAATAATGTCTGATATTCCATCTTGTACTAATTACTCCGACTTATACTAAGTTAAAACTTAGTATAGTCAGTGCCATGTCTATAAGCATATGCTACTTCACTTATTATAATACTCAATTACGAACTGTAGATATGTTTATTTATTCCCCATGTGTACCAATCTCATTGGTTGGACGTGCTCTCGGGTCTTTTTTGAGTGTCGTCCTTGAACATAATCACAACTAGGCGGTCAAGGTTAAAACGCAAATTACTACAAATCTCAATGAATACGAATAAAACTTCATACCGGATCGGTCGTCACCCGGGTGGGTCAACAAGGGCCGCGTACCCCAGAGAGGAACCAGTCTAGGGCCGAAAAATCTGTCACTGAAACAAACTCTTCCAAAAATGAATAGACACTTGGTCACTAAGCCTGGACTATTTCCAACCTTGGACCAAGTGACTCAATACCAAATTGACTAATAAAAAGAAAACGATCGAAATAGTCTCGCGAAGAATATCAACAAGTCATGACATCATTCTTCATTGCACTCGAAAACCCAGCGAAGAACACCACCAATAAAACATACCAAATATGGAGAAATATGGTAGGAATGGATATAAGACCTAACACCACCCCAAACATGCTCGACAATTTCCGCAGGGACATTGTGCGAAACAAAAGACTCTCAAATGCAGAAATAGATAAGATAAAATTAGATATAAGACAAAATGCTATAACCAATTAATTAAACTGTAAAGAGATGAAAGTAGAAATAAGTATTATGACAGAGGATGAGGTAAAAACTAAAACAAATGAAATACGAAATAAACTCCCGGGAAATAAAATCGAAGAATCTACCTGTGACATAACCTGCTGTTATCCAGACGATGCCATTGAAGATGACTCATGAAGTTGGATTTCCTTGAAAACCACATCGATGAAATCATCGAAGCGAAAAACCACGTCATTCAAATACTCAGCAGAGTAACCCTCACACAATTGTCAGACAGAGATCAGCTCCCAAAAATTCATATGACGAAGTCCAAAAAGCACATTGTACAAATATCAAACGCTGCTCTGGAAATACTGTTAACGGATAAAACACCGGGAAATATTACAGATGTGAGTCCACATCAGAAATCAAAGGAAATAATAATAATAATAAATCTAAAAGATGTGGCGCATGGCAACATCAAGAATCCCTGTTGTAGTTGGAGCCCTAGGACTGGTTGGAAAAGATTCCAGTAGACTAATTGAAGGGATTCCTTATATTCCGTAATATTTTTTTTTCTTTTTTTTATTTTTATCAGTGGAAAGTGTCTTGATGCCATTTTTAATCTTAGGTCCCTGGGCGGGACCCGGAAAGAAATGTGTAAACGCCAGAATTCAAAGAAAATAATAATAATAATAATAATAATAGATAGATAGATAGATAGATAGATAGATAGATAGATAGATAGATAGATAGATAGATATGAAAATCGATCTAAAAATAAATAGCTGTATAGATAGATATGAAAATAGATATGAAAAAATATATATAGATATGAAGATAGATATTAATATATATATCTATATTTATATCTATATACATACATATATATATATATATATATATATATATATATATATATATATATATATATATATATATGAAAAATTAATAGATATGAAAATACAGATAGATATGAAGACAGATAGATAGATACAAGCCTACAAACAATATTTTACCAGGAGAATAATCCAGAAATGTCGCTTTCATACGAACGGTGAGAAAACTATTAACCGTCAAATATCTGATTTTTCTTTTTCTATTATTATCATTATTATTATTATTATTATTATTATTGTTGTTGTTATTATTTGTGTATGTTATGTTTCCTGCTTTGTATCCTGTAAAACCTGGTCCAAACTATGGTCCCTAGTCCCCAATTGTAATATAATTGATAGCACTTTTCTTAGTATATGGGATGTTCCTAGTAGGGCGATTTTCTGGGCAACTTTTATGCTGATGCTACCAGGGACACTGTTAGTTAAATTGTCCATTCCTATTCTCACGAGGCCCAGAGTCCCGATTACTATTGGTACAGTTTCTGTCTTCATTCCTCACATCCTGTTAATCTCGATCTCCAGCTCCTTGTATTTGGACAATTTCTCGATAATTTTCATGTAAGTGTTTCTCTCAGATGCTACTTCTATGTCAATAAGCATACACTTCCTGAATTTCTTGTCTTTTATGATAACATCAAGTCTGTTGGCTTTTATTTCCCCGTCAGTTTGAATCGACATGTCCCAGAGGAGTGTTACCTCATTATTTTGGTTAACTAGATATGTCTGTGTTCATACCATCTCTCAGTGGTTTCGATTTTGTGCTTCTTACGTATCTTCCAACTGTCTTTTTTGGATCTCCTTGAGGCATGGACTTCCAGGAATCCCTTCAATTAGTCTACTGCAATCTTTTCCAACCAGTCCTAGGGATCCAACTACAACAGGGATTGTTGATGTTCCCATATGCCACATTTTCGAGATTTCTATTTCAAGGTCCTTGTATTTTGACAACTTTTTGAATATCTTCAAAGATATATTGCAGTCGGCAGGGACTGCCATATCAATAAGAAGGCACCGTTTTTGTTTGTGGTCTTTAATAACAATATCTGGACGGTTGGCCTTGATTGTTCTGTCAGTGTGTATTGTGTAGTCCCATAGAATTGTAACAGGTCCTATCTCCGTAACCGGGTCTGGGTGGTGTTCATACCAGTTTCTTTCAGTTTTCTTCTCGTTATTATTATTATTATTGTTATTATTATTCTACAAATTATCGACATTATCTGCACAACTGTCACTACCTTGTTATGTCTCTGGGTATTTTCCTTCTTTTTTTTTTCTTTTTTTTTTTTTTTTCTAATTCCTGACATCAGCCGACAGTTTCATCGTATTTTTCGGCAGATCCTGCATTTCGGGTTAGTTCCATCCTTGATTATATGAGAGTGATAGGATCTGGTTGCGAGGCTTTGGCTCTAAGCTGTTCGTTACAGCCATGTCACGTTGAAGCACCTGTTCCCGTACGATCACTGAAATTAAGCAACGTAGAGCTTGGTCAGTAACTAGATGGCTGACCACTTGGGCATACCAGGTACTGTAAGCTTAAATGTGTGGATATTATAATAGATCATGGTTCAGAATTTTTTATTCAAGAGCAAGGTTCCAATTCCAGTTGGGTTCGTTGTATTCCCTAACGTGCAAATATCCTTGGCAAAGGTATGAATTCATCTCTTCTCCCCCAACTATGGGTTAATTAACAAGACTTGTATCACTAAACCATTATTATCTCAAAAATAAAATTTTTACAATCCCAAAATATTTTCTGGCTCCAAAGGGCTGATAAGTCGTACAATACAAGTCAATCAATGAATCAAATACTAATTAGGTATACAGTTATGTCTTTTAGATTAATTCACATTCTCTGAAATAAAAATGAATAGAAACTACCGTGGCCACAAAGTGAGATCAGGTTATATATATTGATTGCAATAGAGAATTGAACCCCGACTTTATATCCATATTGTAATTTCTTAGTTGTTTATCAAAATCTGATTAGGTATGAATCTATCTCTTTCCCCCCAGCTATGGGTTAATTAGTAAGACTTGTATTACTAAATTATTATTATCTCTAAAAAATTAAAATTATTACTTTCTAAAACTGTTTTCTGGCTTTAAATAACCAGAAAAAGGTTGATAAATCATAAAAAAACGAATCAATGAATCAAATACTGATTAGCTACACAATCAAGTCTATTAGATTTATTTATATTCTCTGGAATATAAATTTTTTAAAAAATATCGTGGCCACAAAGTGAGGGCTCTGTTTATATATTGATTGTAATATAGAATTGATCCCCCACTTTTTAACCCACATTATAATTTCTTACTTGTTTATCAAATTCTGATTAAGTATAAAACTCATCTCTTAACCCACAGCCATGATTTATATTCCTAAAAAATTATTATTTCAACAACAAAAAAAACTTCTTGCAATCTAAAAATCTTTTCTGGCTTTAAATAACCTGCAAATGGTTGATAAGAAGCCGTAGGAAAAAAACGAAAAACGAATTAAAATTAATCAATTATTGGGATCTTCCATTGATTGAAGACATCTGCTTTCGCCGGACGTCGGATGGAAAGCTTTTCAAGTTTCCCATGTTAAGGAAGAAATCCTTAATTCAGATATGAAATGCCTGTACGATTTCACTTTTGCGGAAGAAGTAACACTGCCAGTCCACTCAGCAGAAGAATTTCAGCGGAGAATGAAGTGCTTCGGCGAGGTTTGCAGTGATTTGCTCTTACCAGCAATTTAGATAAAACACGGCTCATACCTATACATTCAAACTCATATATACATACATATGTATGCATGCACGCTCACAAGTGAGAACGCCTACCCACACCCTATACACACAATACACACTTAATTCGACTTACGGACTGTCATGATGTGTATCAAATTACTAGTAAGCTTAATATGCTATTCTAAAACCAGTACATAAAGACTACGGAGTGGTTAACTCAACGGTTGTCTCGGTAGCGCAGTAGGCAGCGCGTCAGTCTCATAATCAAAACTAGAAGGAGAGAGCTATCTGAAGGTCGTGAGTTCGATCCTCACCCGAGGCAGTATTTTTTTTCTTCCCGTTTTAAGGGAATTTTCTATCTATCGATAAATTTCTGCGAATTCCTTTAGTCCGTCCGTCCGAAACCAAATTTTGAGGAAAAATGTAAACATGGAAGTATCAAGTACATTTGCGTAGCTTACTACAATAAATTTTCATTATTTTTTAACACATTTCCTTCCGGGTCCTAACCAGAGACCTTCATGACATTTTCCACCGATTATTTTTGTAAGAAACAAAACAAAGATGACACACATTTTTCATAAATCTTTTCGTAGGATGTGAGTTCTGAGGACAGTTTTTTTTGTATTTCTTTAACTCGTCGGAGTTCTGTTAACTCCTCCTTAATTTCTTAATTGTCCAAATTGTTCCTAGGGGGCGCTATCCTTAAACTATAAATACTTGAGAATACTTCGCTCTCTCTCTCTCTCTCCCTCTCTCTCTCTCTCTCTCTTGTGAGAAGACGTCATGAACATTATGCAGACACGCGCGCGCGCGTACTTACGTGCATACTTTGAAACACGAACTCTTTACGTTCATGCACACACACACAAACACATACATACACACACGTTAATGTATTTGTCTTTTGTAAACCCTTTTTGTTGTTTAATACATATACCTGTTTGTACATATATATCGGTTCTTAGTTGTTTTCTTTTACATTTCTTTTGGGTGAACTCATCTTGAGTCCGCCATGTTTGTAGTGGACTTTATTTCAGGAGACCACACGTGTTCATATCGCAACGCGTAAAAAACCTACGGTCCGCTACAGAGGCATATTGATTGGAAAGAAGTTCCGATAGACTCATTGAAGGGATCCCTTCAGCGAATTTTTCGAAACCTTCACCAATCAATCCGAGGGCTCCAACTTCAACTAGAATTATTTATGTCCTCGTTACTGATGTGCCACATTTTTGACATTTCCACCTCAAGGTCCTTGTATTTTGAAGATCCGCAAAGATACATTACATTCTCCAGGAACTGTCATGTCAATAATAAAACATATTCTGTTTTTGTGATCTTTAATCACGATGTCTGGGCGATTAGCCTCGACTGTTCTGTCGGTGTGTATTGTAAAGTTACAGGTCCTGTCTCTGTAACCGGGTCTGGGTGATGTTCATATAAGTTTCTTGCGGTTTCCTTTCCGTATTATTATTATTATTATTATTATTATTATTATTATTATTTACTTTGATTTACTTTGATTTCTGGTGTGTACACATTTCGTTCCGGGTCCCGCCCAGAGACCTAAGTTTAGAAACGGCATCATGACATTTTCCACTGATACAAAAACAAAAAAAAATATTTACATAGATAAAGCCCTTCGTAAGGTGTGGGCTGTACTCGTGAGACAATTTTATGTATTTCTTTAATGCATGGGCTTCCAGGAATCCCTTCAATTAGTCTACTTGAATCTTTTTTCAAACAATCCGAGGGCTCCAACTACAACAGGGATTGTTGATGTTCCCATGTGCGACATTTTTGAGATTTCAATTTCAAGGTCCTTTTATTTTGACAGCTTTTTGAAGATCTTCAAAGATACATTGCAGCCTGCAGGGACTGCCATATCAATAAGGAGACACTTTCTTGTTTGTGGTCTTTAATAACAATATCTGGACGGTTGGCCTTGATTGTTCTGTCTGTGTGTATTGTGTAGTCCCATAAAATTCTTACAGGCCCTATCTCCGTAGCGTGGTCTGGATGGTTTTCATACCAATTTCTTATTTCGCTTTCATATAACATATGATGATAGTTGCTAGTAAGTTTATTTTTAGGTCACATCCAGTGACTTAAGAAAATAAACCCCTTGTTTGTTCCTTACAGGTTGTATCCAATAATATCATTACCATTTATTTATCCACTTATTTATCCTTTAAATCCTGGGCTGCCAGGAATCCCTTCAATGAGTCTATCGGAATCTTTCCTAATCAATCCGAGGGCTCCAACTACAACTGGAATTATAGGCGTCCTCATGTGCCACATGATTTAGATTTCCACTTCAAGATACTGTGCGAATCTATTACACTCGTACATACATACATACATATATACATACATACAAATCACATACAACGCCAAGCATTCATTGGTTAATTAATCGCCACTACGTTATTATAGACAATTTACAAATCGCAGCAATGCGACAATTTTGTAATCGCTCTATTTTCATGTAGTTAATTTTGTGCACTTTTGGGAGAAGCAGATCACAGAAGTTTTCTTAAGTCTCCCCAAAGCTCGTTCGCTGATTGGTCGATGCCAACCAATCAGATCGTCTGTACGTGAAGAATAATTCTTCCCGCACAGCGATATAGAGCCTATAGTCACTTATTTAAGCAAGAATTTTTATTAGCTAATTAATGAGAATTCATCTGCCAAACGAATCCACGACAGTTTAAACCATACACCAACCTTCTCACTCACACACACCACTTACATGCTGAACATACCTTTTATACACTCACATAATCTTTTTTTGCACAGCAATTTTTTCAAGAACTATTATTACAAGAAACTCTCATGAACATTCTTCCAGTGAAGTTTGGAATACTAAAATAACAGTTAAAGAGAGACAACTCTTGTTTTATTCAACCTTTTCTTACTTAAATGCATGCTTTCTTTCACATCGTTGTTTGATATTGTACATCTTGTTAAATACATATTTCATGTGTAACAATGTCTTTTGCTTATCCTTTTCTGCGTCAGCCTTGTTTCCTCGTTTAAAGTTAAATTAATGTGGTGAAGTCCGCCACAATACTCGTATTTTTTATAGTTTTTTGAAGATCTCCAAAGATACATTACATTCTGCAGGGACTGCCATGTAAACAAGAAAGCACATTCTTGTTGTCTTTGATCACGATGTCTGTGCAATTGGCTTTGATTGCTTTCTTTGTGTGGATTGTAAAGCAATTTCATTACCAATTGTTAATTTGTTTCTTAATCTTTTCTTGTAATCTCTTAAAGTTTCTATTTCTGGTCTACGAAATTACAGCCGAGTTCGTTACTATTGGGATTTTCCCAATTATATTTGGTAATAAAAATATTGTGACACCGGCAAGAAGAAAGGAAAACAAACACAGATGAAAATGTTTGAAAAAACTTGTATTGTAGGAAAAGAGAGGAAAGTTTCATTGCAAACAGTCGGGTTTGCGGAACTTATCTGGAAGATGCGTCCTTTTAACAGTTTTATATTTCCTGTGTCGTTTTGGCTGGGTTGATGTTATGGGTGAAACACACCTATTCTATAGTTAATAAACTCTCCCACCTATAATAAGTAGGAGTAGTAGTAGGAGTCTGCGGTGAATTGGTCAGTCAGTCGATGTCGGACGACCGTTAGTCGGATATTAAAGTATCAGCGACCACAACTAGATTACTGCGCCATTATCTATTATATCAAGTTCCTAACGTTTTGTACGTCGAACCTATTTTAGGACCGACTTAGTGCAATTACAAGCCTCCACTGTGAAACCACTACATAA